CGCGGCGACGGAGTGGCACGGGCTGGGGGCGCAACGGGAGTCTGAGGGCGGGGGCGCGACGCGTTCACGGCTTTGCTAATTTTAGCGGCCGCGGGAGCTCGAGACTCCGCGGCACGCTTCTTACCCTTCTGTACCAGGGTGAATCCATCCGTCGATGAGGCGGGGGCGAGGTCGACCTCCATGTCCGAGTCAGAGTCGGAGCACGAGGAGGCGGGTGCAGGCGACCTACGAGCAAGTGTAGGTATTTTAGAGGGCGCGACGGAGGCCGCGGATGATCGCTCAGCTGGAACGATGGTCACGGCGGACGACGCAGCAGCTTTTCTCGCCAGTATAGGCGACACGGGAGCGGCAGGCACGACAGAGGCTGCGGTGCTCAATGCAGAAGCTTTGCACGCAGGTACAGACGACGCAGGAGCAGCGAGCGCGGCGGAGTCCTCGAGAGGGCTCGCAGTGTGATTGGCCTTGAAGGCCAGAAACTCCGAGGCGAGCTGTGGGTGGCGAAGTCGGAGAAATTCCGCGAAAACAGCGTCCATGATCGCTGAGTACCCAGGTGGGGCGGCCCCGGGTCTTGAAAACACTCGCCTTGCGGCGAGGCCCCAACTTCTCGGACCTGAGCGGTTCTATTGAACACAGGTGGCAATGCGGCGCGATTACTACAGGACAAAGAAAAAGCACAACAAAACAGAAATTACAAAAAGAAACAAAACAAATAAAAGCTTCCAGGAAACACACTTGGCCGGCAGATATATCACGAACACAGGCCGCGCGAACAATGGCCGGGCTAACAAAAGCCGGGCGAACAAAGACCGGGCGATCGAGTGGACGATGAGCACGTCCGCACGTGACGGGTGCCTCTATCGGAATGTATATGCCAATCACTTGGGGGACGAAGTGTCACAAAAATAATTATTTGTGCCGTTTAACATCCGATTATTTTTTTTTATTGCTTAGATGGGTGGACGAGCTCACAGCCCACCTGGTGTTAAGTGGTTACTGGAGCCCATAGACATCTACAATGTAAATGCGCCACCCACCTTGAGATATAAGTTCTAAGGTCTCAGTATAGTTACAACGGCTACTCCACCCTTCGAACCGAAACGCATTACTGCTTCACGGCGGAAATAGGCGGGGTGGTGGTACCTACCCGTGCGGACTCCCAAGAGGTCCTACCACCAGTGATTACGCAAATTAGAATTCTGCGGGTTTGATTTTTATTACACGATGTTATTCCTTCACCGTGGAAGTCAATCGTGAACATTTGTTGAGTACGTATTTCATTAGAAAAATTGGTACCCGCCTGCGGGATTCGAACACCGGTGCATCGCTACACACGAATGCACCGGATGTCTTATCCTTTAGGCCACGACGACTTCAATCTGTAATGATTCCACGGTATTAATTATGCTGCTAAAATTAAATGGTGTTTTTGTACTATATTATATACTTTGAACGAAACAATAATGAGTTAGACTAGCTAGACCTATCCAACAGTTCTACCCACCCAACTACCTACCCAACGCCTCGCTACAGTAACCGGTCCAGAGAAGACCACATCCAGCAGGTTGCCGTGTCATTTATCTCATCGTTGGTCCACCGGTCCAGCGGTCGTCACCTGAGAACTTTTCGGCCTCAACTTTTCGGAACCACGTCATGTTGACCTTGAGAAGTAATAGCATCTGTCAGCTCCTCCCATGGGTGTTGTAAAAGGCTTCTAAGGGATGCTCCAGAGATTGGGCAGCAACGTTCTCCGTATATTATAACAACACACCGCGTTCCCCAACCCGCATGCCAAGCGTGGCCATTATAGAAAACCGTCCCCAAAATGCCTGACAAAGATGAGCAAAAGAACTTAAAGTCAAAATTCAAATTATCCATCACTATCATGAACGTTCTCTGAATAATATTTACAACATTAAATATTATTTAAACGCTCAATCTCAAGAATGTAATTTTCTTCTGTATTAACGTTATCATTCAACACAGCGCCTCTCACCTTGAAGACGTATGGTTATCTGTAATTAAATCTGAGCATGTAATGCGTCGATAAATATTTACGATGTTAATTGACATTTAAATTCGAAAGAGACTTGCAATGAGTTCGCGGAGAGAGCCGCAGCAAAAACAAATACGTGAATCGCGTTAAGGTCTTCAAAGGACTTGAAACTTTCGCGGAAACCGGTGAAACTCTAGTTTAATTAATGCTAATATTTCGGACCCGACTTAGGCTTTATTCGAGATGCCATCAATCTAATCGGATTAAACGTTAAAGTTAGGTTTGACGCAAGTCTCCTTTCAAATGATTCACTTTCCATTTCAATAGTTCAAAACAATTGAATCGGTTTTAATTTTTGTTTTGTTTTGGTATAGGGGTGTTAGACCAAAAAGAAGAAAGAAGACATCTATCTATACGAGTTCTTGTTCATTTAACTTTATGCACAAAAGGAAACAGCCCAGTTAAAGCCTAAGGCATTCTGTTTGTTATTAGCAATGAGAATAATTAATGTGCGATATCAAAAATGTTTAATGTTCCAATAAGGTTTTATAAGCCGTAAATATCTTACTAAAACATCAATATTAATCCATTGATGATGATAAAAATCGGATTGTTTTAGTGTTTATTGATTTTCTATTTCAATTTTTCGATTCGAGATCATTATGTTCTTGCTTTTTGTATATCTTTTAAAAAGTAAAACTGACGACAACTCCTCATAGACTAGGTAGACGAAGCCCATGATGCAGCTCCTATTTTTTTAGGAAGAAAGTATTACTGGTGGCCCGGAGACCTTTCTAGTTTCACCAGGACAGCTTGGCGACCACGGGCATAGCCAGGAGGGATGATATTTGCTCGAACGCTACCGAAGGAGACCTAACCGCTCAAGGCCAGCTCCTTCACGAATGCATCTATACGAGTTGTTACGCGCTGGGGTTCGGGATAAATAAAAATTCTACCGGAATACAACTTAAAAACTATATTCAACACATAGAACACTTAAAACACTTCACAAACACTTTAAAATTCTCGATTCGCTTCTTCCGCTTCGCTTCAAGTGATCCGTTCGCTGCTTCGCTTCGAGTAGACCCGATTACTGACTGATTGCGTGTCATCTCTGCAACGCTTTTATAGTCGAAACGAAATCCCAAGAATCGTCGAGAATATTCCACAAAAGTCAAGTATTGTCTTTTTTCGCTATCTGACAATAGATG